CAAAATTGCCATGGCAACCGGCTTCCGTACGTCTCAGTGTCAACATGGCGACGAAGTTTTAAAATGCCGTAAATGAAGATGTCAGGGCACAAAAAGACGCTTTAGAAAACCTGAACACACAAGAGAACATCAAGAGGGGCTCTAACAGGTATTTTGCCGAAAAAGTCTGAAAAATTCTGAACTTTAAAAGCCAAATTTAAGGCCTAAACATTTGAGAGAGTGGAGTTCTCGATCGATGTGATCCAGGATAAACATGTCAAAAATCCAAAATTGCTAACGTAATTCGTCACCCATGATATTAATAGGTAATCAATCACTCGTGAAATTAGGGAATAATTTCACTCGTCACCATTTGATTACACATACTTATTAAATATTGCCATAGTATAATTACACAAACGAAAAGAAAAGAAAATCCAAACCAAAGATCAAGGACCATAATATGTTCTGGTCAGTTGATTCTTTACCTTGTGGCATATAACTTTTTTCATTATCAAAATGTAATGGAGACGTTTTTAGGGGTGTGGGAGAACTTACCCTTTGTTTTGCTATCTGTTGTGTCGTTGTCATTCAACGTTCTTCTGTTATTTCCCATTTCCTTTCTTGCCTGCTCAAGATTGTCATTTCTGTCATCTAAAAATAGGAAATAACCTGATACTGAATATAAAATCGCTGAAGTTCTATAGAATTTCACCCTCTTACCTTATCATATCTGATTTGCATTTGGGCTACATTTTAATATTACTAAGAAATAGTTATGTCATTTAGAAGAAATACATACATACATACATACTTTATTGCAACTCCCTAAAAGGTTTTTTTAGTTACAAGGCTACTAATCATCTAAAATAGCTACATAAATTACCAAATAACTAAGATAATAAATATGCGTTAAAAAATAAGTGAAATACAATAGATCATTTACTATTTACAAATTCATAGATTTATCAGAGAAAAGTAGGTTGACAATTTTTTCCTAAAACCTTTAACAGAATCTGAAGATTTAACATTGTCTCTTAGATTATTCCAGAGCTTAGCACCGCGGTAGGTGAAGGACCGCTGACCAGTGGCTAGGCGGTACCTTGGAATGTTCAGTTGATCGCGTTGTCTAGCATTTCTACCGTGAGTTTGTGAAAGCATAGTAAATTTCTAGATTAGGTAGTCAGGCACAAGTTTATTAGTACATTTGTACATCATCACTGCATCGTTCAAGTAAATTCTGTCATTAACAGGCAGCCAATTTAGCGATTTGATAGCTTGTGAGATGTGATCAAACTTTTTGAGGCCAAGAACAACACGGGCGGCAGAATTCGCACTAACTGAAGTTTGTCAATGTTATGTTTACTAGTGTTTGACCAAACAGTTGAGCAATAATATCACTTACTAAAAACGAAAGAGTTCATGAGGAGAAGTATTTTTTCTTATCTAGCAAGTTTTTTATTCTGTTGATTTGTACGAGTTTATGTAGGCATATAGAAACTGTTTTAGCAATGTGTTCGTTGTAAGTTAGTGATTGGTCAATATAAATGCCAAGATCTTTAGCAACAGTAGAGGGTGTAATTTCTTTTCCAAGCATCCGAACAGATGCTGTGGGCAGCTTATAGTGGAGTTGAGGCGTACCGATCATTAAAACTTGAGTCTTATCAGGATTTATCAATAAAGAGTGTTGGCAACACCATCTGGAGACTTGTTCCAGGTCCGCATTTAGATTGTGAATTTCAGTGGACATGCCAGACGAGAGAAAGGACAGAAATCGGTTAATTCGGAAATCAAAATAGCCTGCGAGCAAGCTCTCCGGCGGGAAAAGGAAAAAGAACTTGCAACTACTTCTCTGGAACTTGAATTCCAAATCCAATTCCCCTGCGGCTCCCCGTCGACTGAGCTGCAAGATGTCCGCCAATCAGCGCGCAGCGGAGACGACCGCGAATGTAAACAAACATTGAAAAATACGTAAAAGATTGAACTGACGTCATTAGTAATGTCACCTCCGACAATCAACATTTCGCATCGACTTTTTTGAGGCAGATATTCAATTTACAGAGAGGTAATTGCAAGCTCTCCTTCCTTTTCCCGCCCCGCCGCCAGAGCGCCCGGAGAGCTTGCTCGCATGCTAAAAAGGGAACAGATCTTTAAATGTGAATAACCTTACCAGCAAGTGTCAACACCCCGTTCCTCTGTCGATGCTAACACCTCGTTTACGAACCAGCATGTTTAAATGGAAATTCTATAAAAAAAGGGCACCCATAGCCTATTCCAGGCATTTGAATAGTGGGAGAGCAGTGCGAAGTGATGCAGCGCAATGAAAATGAAATATAAGAGGAGAACACCCTTTCTTTCTCACCACCTTTCAGCCTTACATTTCCCCCTTAAAGGAGCAAGAGCAAGATGCACTATTTCATATCATATATTACATCACGTTAATACAGAGAGGACCTTTCGTTTAGGATGTCTTAGGTGTATTTAATAACTCTCCCTTTTTTATACATGGTAGCGCCGTCAACTAAACAGAAGAACACTTACCGACATAGTGAGGCCAATCTTCAAAAACGAGTGGGTCATTTAACATGTTGGACACAAGAGAAGCTGCCATCGTGCAGGCAAACGACTTCCAAAGTTCATCAGGGGGATCGGGATCATTGATGAAATGAGAAACCCCTTTGACAATCACCCATTCAATCTTCATGTCATGTGCTGCTACAAAGACACCTACAACAATTAACAAAACACATAGATAAGACAAAAAAGACCAAGAGAATTGAAGGAGATTCATCGTTTTAAACATCGATAAGGAAGGAAAGAAGAGATTTCAATTTTAACCCAGAGAAAAATTTTAAAGCTTTGCAGGATTCTTTCCCCAGACGAAAACCTCTTGGTAATCATTTTCCCCGCTATTCATCCATTCATATTCGCGTATTTAAAAACCAGATTGAGGCTTCCTGCTTGTACAGAATCACGTTTCTGTTATAATATCATGGATGGCAAATTACTCCTTATTTTGGCTCGAATTCATAATTTCACTTCTCGTGAGCGTCATTTGTTCCACTCTTCGTTAAAAGATAAAGGCTGGGGAAATTATCAGAATTTCGACAAAAAACGCGAGAAATGATTCCACTCGTCCCCATTTGATCACCATACATGCAAAAATTGTACAATGATAGCATTTTCTCTGTTACTCTTGCTTTTTGTGACTACATGCTATGGTTTTGCAGCATACTACTGTAGCCGTCGTATTTACCGTTTGAACTTTTTGTTTTTAATCTTAAAATAATAAAAAACATTCTATAGGGCAAATGCGACTGTTATGAATCCACCGACTCTATTTTTTCCGAAAGCTGCACTGAATGCCTCAAGATGGCACTAACAGCTTTACATAACAGTTAAGTTTTTGTAGTTAAAAGCCTTTTACCTGGACCAGACGGGCAAAAATAAAAATTATGGACATGATCAAATTATACAAGCAAATCAGAAAATTGAGTAAAATAAAAAAACATGCAACCTTAGTGTTTCTAGATATTCCAAAAAGTTAAGCCGTCCTTCCTAATTGCGGATGATTGACGTGAGCCTCAGACGACAGCACAAGAAAATAGAACTACTTTTCCCTTAGGCTTTTTCTTTAAAGAGCACTATATAACATAAAACTTCATATGAAATCTTTGCAGTAAGTGACACTTTTTCTTCAAATTCATGCAAATTGATCATTTTCTTTTTTTTTTCCGACTACCTTTGTCCATGAATGAGAAGTGTTGCTAAAAGGACAAATTGAATTTTTGTCATTTTTAAGTTAGTCCAAAATTTTGAAGATACCCATATGAGGCATGTCATCACAACTTTTAACATCAAAAGGTGAAACCTCTGCTTTTTCTGCAAAACAAATACACGTGTTGAAAATTCTTTCATCTTCACTGCTTGAACTAAATAGCTGTGTTACTCACCCGGGGGAAGACTCCCATATGAAAGTGGCGGGAGACCAATCTGGGCGTGGCCCAACCATTTTTTGACCCCTAAAAGCGATCATTTTAAACTTTGATTACATGAATCGAATAAATAAAACAAACTGAAAATATTTAATTTTTTAATATTTCTTCGAGTGCAACCCTAAAAAAGACCTTTACGGCTAAATATAATGGTGTTTTGCCCAGAACACCCTAAGGGAGACCAAAATCTGAAATTTACACCCCTAAGCGAGACGACAAGCATCCCCGCCCCTTTCATATGGGAGTCCCTCTTCCCCTCCCCACCGGGGTTACTCATTTTCGAAGTTAAAACATGTTGAGGACTACAATGGGATTTGAGTTGCAAATAATACACAACCCTACAAATAATATAACAGATTTAAATAAAAAATAAGGCCAACCTTCTCCTTCCGATTCAACAGCAGTCACATTTGAGTTGGACACATGTAATAGTTTAGCACTGGTCGAACCCACAACACACAATATCTCGCCGTCACGGTGCATAGTTACTTCGCGAGTATTTGGAATTCTCAATGGTGGATTCCAGCCATCACTTGAATGCTGAATGAGATTCCCGATATCTTTTCCCACTGGAGTTCTGAAGGCTTGGGTAGAAAGCTTAGAAGATATCACAACATCCCCTAACCTCGCTGTGTCTGAGTTTGGACTCTTGCAGCAGCCAACAGAGTACACAACTTTAGGTCGCAGTTGCATCACTGCATTTTTGGTGACAATTTGGGAGCTACCCGGACCAGAAGAACCTTCACAACATTTCATCAAAGCGACCTTCAGTGGTTCACTCTCACTTTCACCCATGTTTCCAAAGTAAACATATCCAAGGTCTTTGCGATAACTTTTAAAGGGATTTTTCATGAAAGCGTAACATGCCAAGAACTCACAGTCCTCCACCGTCAACAAAAGAATGTCAACTGGGAGCCAATCATTGCTCCAAGGCTCGGACTTGTTAGGAAGGTCACACATCTTGGGCACTTCAATAGAAAGAAGAGGTGGAGTACCATGTTTTACCAGCTGTTCAAGAACATCTCCCTTTCTTTTAAGCTCCTGGTGTTGGGCCATCAATCCTTCTTGTTAATTTCCTAAAAAGAAGGTAAAAAAAATTAGGGATGTAATTTGCGGTAAGTTTACTATGTAGGGTAATATAGGAGATACAAAATATGGAAATGACAATCTCATTTTTGGGCGACATCCGCGCTTTACTTTTAAGAAGTTTGTTTAGCGACTTCAGCACGTTTTGCGCCACGATAAGAGATTCGGGAAAACTCATGGGTTCAAGCAAAACAGAAACAACTGAATATAAATGATAATAGGAGGAATATAACGCACTAATTCACTCAGGGTTATATAATAGCTGATAGTGCTCTACAAGGTGTCCCTAGAGTTCGTTCCTCTAATTTCATGAGCTACAACTTTTGATAAAAACTTTAGTTTTACATGAAATTTCGAAAAGATGCTTATTGCTCTATCGGGAACATGTATTCAGAAGTTCAGTAACCGGCATACCCCCTTTGTTTGTTTGTTTGTTTTTTTTTTCACACTCTGTAGTAGTTGCCGCATTGAGTGGGATACGTCATGTAGCGTGTAGAGCCCCAGATGATTCATTTTAAGCTTTTTTATCGCCTGGTATGCAGAAGCCACTTGGACTCCAAAACAATATAATTTTTTACATTAGGCAGCTGAAAAAAAAAAAATATTTGGCGCATTGATCCAAGAAAAGATAATCATCCCGGCCCTTTTCCACAGTAAGGCTTTTGTACTTGTTTACAAATTTGAGACAAGTTGAACGTTGCTTGGAGGACTAGGTTCAGGGTTTTTTTTCGCCAATTCAGGGGTCTCCAAACTTTACTTTTAATGAACCCCGCTCCACACTTGCTAACTGTTGTGACAGCTACCTCGTCGGGTTTCCTCTTTTGTACCTAGCCTTCTTTAAAGCTATTTTAGCGGTTTTATTCAGGACTTGCGGTCTTCCCCCTTGTTTCTTGTCTTAAAAACCTTCATTTCTCTATGACCAAGCCAGTAGGTCGAGGTATGCATGTTTTTGCTCTTAGGTAGCTGAGTGTTTTTCCGGTGAGAGGGTTTATCTTTTATGATATTCACAAAAAACAAGGAAGGAGTTCGAGCAATTTGGGCTACAAAATACGAGAAATATTTTGCGGGAAAAGTTACTCGCGCAGCGAACCTTTGGCGCGAAAGTACACAAATCGAATATTCGAGTCAAAAGATGACACAACAAGTATGAAATAATAAATTAGATTGAAAGACAAAACTTTTGTTTAAACTATTTGCTTATCAAGTCCAATCGTACTGCGTTACAGACTTATAAAGTAGAGGAACGAATTTTCGGGACAACCTGTATTCTATACCCTACAAGGGAGTGAAGCTTTACTATTTCAACATCTTTTCGTAACCTGCAAACATACTGATTTTTTGCTAGCCAGCGAACGCAGACGTATTTTCAGTCGTCGCTTCTCACCATTCATAAACTGAGGTGGAGAGAAGCGTCGACCGGAAATTCGTCTGCGTCCGCTGGCTAATTTTAGCAAGAGAGGCTTGATTCGTGGATAGTAAAACCAGCAAAAACGCTCGTAACTCGTTTGGCAGCGGTGTTGTAAAACAAAATGCTGTTTGGGTTGCACGTTTATCGTAGCTTAAATTTAATTTGTGCATTCCATATTTTAGCATTTGGCATACAAATGGTCTAACTGCATTTATACAATGATGTGAATGCTACATGTACGCGCGCTGTGAATGCTCGTTGTCCATGATCTGTAAGTCAAAGAGTACATATGTATACGTGGATGACGTCACGGGAAACTTCTTTTCTTTGTTTTGTTTAACATGGTACGCGGTTTTGAAATTGTTTATGAGATTATTTCGGATTTAAGCAAGTGAAAGCCTCGAAAACAAAAGTTAACAGGAGCTATTTACAAAGAAAAAAATGGACAAACGGAGACAAAATTAAAACAGCTCTTTACAACTTGAGAATGCCCAAGCTACAAGAAATCTTCACAACAGTTGCCATCGTGTGTTATCGCTACAAGACTCGCTGTTTTGCAAAATGTTTTTCTGCTTTGAGCAAGAAAAGACGTTGAAAAAGTTTTCGAAGAAACTGTATACAAGAAATACGAAGAGTAGCGTTTGGGACATAAAAAATGCCTAAACTAGCACAAATCCTCGAACAGTCAAGCGGTACGAGGCAGGTATGTGTATCGGTCTTTTTTCTTTTCCGATCATTGTATAAAACAAATAGATTCCACGGTTCCGTGGGTCTGTTCAGTATTAGATGACAGAAGGGGTCAAAATGTGGTAAAATATCACTGACACACTCGCCTGCGGCTCGTGTGCCACTTCTTTGTTTTTACCACATTTTGACGTCATCTGTGATCTACTACTGAACAGACGCACGGCAACATGGAATCTTTTTGATCAATTGACACATGAAATGACCACAGTTTCGAAAGGAGCGAGTATTTCTAAAGAGCAAAACAGAAGGATGTTGTAAGAAAGGACACGAACAAAATGAATGTGATTATTCATGTTCGCCTAATGCACACTGAGCGTACGACAACTAAAGCAAGACTGAAGAAATGTCCAATGTTTATTCACTAGTGAAAAATTAAATGTTAATGTGCGAAGGAGAAAACACTTTTCGTAAAGTAAATCAGTTGGGAGTGAAAGAGGTCTTGATGGTATATTTGTTCTCCATAACACTTATTCCTTACCTGGCCTACTCAGACTGTCTCCACTGAGGCCCCTTTTTGTAATACACTGGGTTACCAAATGAATATAACTGCTTGCAGTCTCTCATAAACCTTAAAAAAACTATAAAGCAAATAAAAAAGATTGTATGAAAAAAATTTGAAGTAAGGCTGCATTCATTATGTATACCACAGGAGGAGGGGGAGGGGCAGAAGATATTTTTTAAAGGGCCAAAATTTTTTCATACCCCTTCACATCATGCAGAATTTTTTGACATCCCCCCTCTTGACCAAAAGAAAAGAGGAGAAAGAAGTTCCATCCTTAAAGTAAATCAAAGAAGCTTTCTAAAGATTTGCTGCCAACTTGATGGGAATTTGCATGTGATCACTTTTGATTATAGAACCGTGCTCGACCTGTAGTTATTCTGATTGCAGCATAATTGCAAAGCCAACAAATCAAATGTTACTGATCATTTCCACTCCTTCTTAGCTGCGAAAGTTGACTTAACCCTTACGAACATAGAAGCTGAGGACTTAATCATAACTTTAAAAGCTTTGAAAGGGAGAAAGGTGCATGGGTTAATTTTGATGATTATGTTGGCAATGATGATGATAATGATGACAATGATGATGATGAGAAAGAGAATGAAAACAATCCGTAACATTATTAATAAAAGCAGGATAAAAGAAAAGGTGGTAATGATAATGTAGATAGCGTTGGTTACTGCAAAGTAAAGGACATTGCAGTTTAGTGATTGAAATAGAAAATCAGCAACTAAAAATTATTCATTTGTGTAGTGGCTTAATTATCAATAACATAATGTTACAAATAGTTAATCTTTCAATGGCATTTAAAAAAATTGGCATCCCCCTTATTGCCTGTAAAAATGTTTCCACCCCCCCTCCCCAATTCCCTTCAAAAAATTTTAAGAACCCCTTCAAACTCCTCATCAACAAATGCCTTGTAGCGGCTGTTATGCTTTGGGCTCCGCGACTATAAATTTGCCGTGCTGCCTACAACGTGGTCATTATATATATATGATCGGTACTCCAGGACCACAGTCAGTTTTCGCAGTTTTTGTGGTGATGGTTGACAACTTCAGCTTTTATATCCTTTTTATTGCCTCAGCAGTTGCGGACTTTTCCCATAACATAATATTGCGCGAAGAGGTATGCAGTGTGAGGTAATCATAAGTATAACTAATGTTTTACCATTAATGTTTAGTCAAAATAATTCTCTGAAGATGGCGGTGTGTACTTATAGTTTGTCAACCATCATCAAGATCTGTAAATATGCAGCAAGGGGATCCAGTGAGGGAATTAAGTCTATAATTTCATAATATTTCGTGAATTTGTTGTGATAGTTTTAAGCCTACATAGGTAATATTGTTAAGAACTACGTTAGACAAACCGATTTCTTCAGATTTCCTATACCTATTTCAGTTCAAAAAGCGAAAACTTAGGGGAAAAAAATCTTCTTTTCTTTTCAAATTTTCACAATTCTGGGCAGCCATAGTTTGAAATGCGATCTGATCTGGAGTGTTCTGCCTTCCGCAAACTGTAGCAGACAAGGTTATAGAGCTAATTTTAGTGAATGTTTTAGGCAACATTTCAGTTAGGTTATCAGATCAGTGGGATTTCATTCCGCGTAAAATTCAAACCTTTCAAATGGTTTCTGTCTCTAGAAAAAGTACTGAATACTAGGCAAGCCTTTTTCAAAACCCATTTGTGGCTTAATGAACTCGGTTCACGACACTATTAAGTGGGTGAGAACTAGCTACAGCGGTTGATTTAATTCTGAAAAAAAATATTTTGAAAAGAATCAAACACAAAGGTCTTTGCAGCAGATATTTTACGCCGAATGCTCTCGGGATGATATGACAAACCAAACTTTCTGTTACTTTTTGAATATACAAATTACGGTTTTCCTTTCAAGTAGACCTTCTCTTTAATGAGAAACAACCCGAAACATCTAAAGTCACATACTGATCTCAAGGTTTATTATACTGTAGGAGACATAGGCTAACTATATCAATCCTTAACGAATTTTAAGTATAGTAAATGCAAATATGTAAAATGTGGGGATTTGTATTAACAAAGAAAATCATAAGCAATTTCGAAAGAAATATGCACATTGACATCAAGATTATTTTTGGTTATAAACAACACCGACTCAAGATAGAGAAAAAGTCAATGATGACAAAGAAGTGATTTTCACCTGAACGCGAATCGATCGCTGACTCCGTCATTACTTGTCTAGTTTAAAAGATCGCAACCAATGTAGTAAAAAGTATTTTGAGATGGCATTTAGTAGAAGGAAATGTGCACATTGACATCAAGACTAAATTTGGTTATAAACAATACCGACTCAAGACAGTCGAAGAGAAAAAGTCAATGATGACAAAGAAGTGAAACGTAAGTGAACGTAATTAACTCCACCTGAACACGAATCGATCGCCGACTCCGTCATGTACTTGTCTAGAACAAAATGGCTATTAAACTACTTATAAAAGAACATACTCGCAGGTATTCGCTAACAGCTGTTTAAAAGATGGCAGCCAATGCACTAAAAAGTATTTCGAGATGGCATTTAGTAGAAAGAAATGTGCACATTGACATCAAGACTAAATTTGGTTATAAACACTGAACACCGACTCAAGAAAGTCGAAGAGAAAAGGTCAATGATGACAAAGGAGTGAACCACTCCTGAAGGCGAATCGATCTCTGACTCCGCCATCACTTGTCTAGAACAACATGGCTATTAGGTATTAAATGACTGATAAAAAAACGTGGTCGGCGCAGGTATTCTCTAACTGCAGTTTAAAGGTGGCAGCCAATGTGCTAAAAAGTATTTTGAGATCGTGTTTAGCAACCTTTATCATAAAACCTCTTTTCTTTAAACCAGGTAAAATATGCTTAGACATCAAAATTTTGTTTTGCTCACCTTCTCCACGAAATAAACTTTTCGTCGCTTATCTGATGAATCATTCAGCCTTGAAGGTGATTGCGATGAAAATCAATGCACCAGCGGCTACTCAGATCAGTGTAGGGTTTGTGTTCCTCTGAAGGTTGCTCCTGAAACAAACAATGTTCGTGTTAGACAAGCGATACAGTCACGACAAGCGATACAGTCACGCGAAATCAATTAATATTGTTTTAAATACCTGTGCAAACTCAGTACTGTTGTCGACTGAAAAAAAAAAGGACTAAATGATCACATCCACATGCATCAACCTGGGCTAGGGCTTGGGTCTTTTTTGTTAGTGCCAATTTTTTCCTCAGACGAAATTGCTAGCTATGAACATGATGAAAAGATTTCATAGAAAGCTCTAGAAAGATCACTGTTGCGGAGCTGTCAATCAAACGCGACTAGGCGTAGCTTGCAATGTCGAAAGCAAAAGCATTCGTATTCCATACAAAGATCGCGAGATGAACCCAACGTTACCAAATATTTTGAATTGTTCATTATCTGAATTATACCATTTAATTAGTGGGAGAGCTCGTAAATAATTTGATGGATTCACACGAGTAGCTTAATCGCTTATCAGTAACTAAATCATTTAGCGTAAGGTCTTTTCTGATGGAAATCAATTCACCCCTAGGCAGACCAGTGGGGGCTTGTGTTTCTCATTTGCTTTCCCTGAAACAAACAACTATCAATGGCAATGTTCAATGCTCTTGTTAGAGACTAGATAGACAGTCTAGACAAATCATTGAACGAATCCAGCAACAAAGCCGTGGGCTTCGACCGTTTTTTTGCGCCATTTTTATTCAGCCTCAGATCAGAACGGGGCGTCAAATGAGGGGGAAATCACGTGTTCTTAGGAGACATCAATCAAAAGTAAAACATGATCGATTGGGAAACCTGGATTGAGATTTAGAAATCCGGATTTCGGATTTGCAACAAAATGCAAAATCTAAAAAAAGAATTTGAGCCCTGACAAATATTTCCTTGGATTTTCTTTCTTTCTTTCGGTTTTATAGGGAAATCTGCTGAAAATGGATTTGAAAAACTGTTCTCAAGAACAGCAATCTCCCACGCGCACGCATAATAAAATAGAATAGAATAATTCTTTATTTAAACGCGGCAATATTCATCAGGAGTAAAATTTTAAATAAACCTAACTACCCTAAACAATATGCAAAACTGTCTACAACTAACCTAACTAAGACCTGTTTTTCATGAATGCCGTGTACAAAGTACTTTAAAAATCAGAAATTTAGATGAGCCAATCGTTTAAATTGACTTAATGATTTAGCCTCTCTCATATCACAGGGCAGACTGTTCCAGAGAACTGCTCCGCTATAACTGAAGCTGTTCTTCATGAAGTTAGTTCGCGGGAATGGGACAATTACTTTGCTAACAGAGTCCCTCAGGGAGTATCGCGTTTTGTATCGTTCAACAAATTTAGAGGATAAATATCCTGGAACAAGATCATTTAAAGACTTGAAAACCATTAGGGCTTTTTGCACTTTGAAAGTGAGCGCTCAAGTTTTTCCAATTTAGTTGTCTAAATAAGCGGTTGGCATCAGCATCATATCTAGAAAAGGTTAGAACACGAGCAGCACGGTTCTGAAGGTTCTGTAGCCAATCAAACAAAGTTTTTCCACAATTACCCCAGACAATATTACAATAATCGAATTGAGATTGAATGAGAGCGTTGTATGTACAGTGAAGAGTAGGCGTTGGAACAAAATCTCTAATTCTTTTAATTGCTCCTATCCCGGAAGCGATCTTTTTAGATAATTTATCGATGTGCGTTTGGCATCGAGGATTTTCATCAATAAATATTCCAAGCGATTTTACAGAGGTAACCTTTTCTATCGGAAC